CCCCAAATCGGGCGAATATCACGGTGAGAGTAAAAAGTGTAAAACTCACGTATGGGGGGGCGCAATCTGTAGCCCCTTTCCCGCAAGTACTCTGGTCCGGGCTCTATTGAGGCTCGGCGTACTCGTAGGATAGTGGGGCAGGTAGAAAGGCTGCCCGCACTAGGCGCGCGGGTTCCGAATACCCGCACGCCGCACGCGTCTATTTAATACATCATTATCTTATCTCTGCCCAGCGCGTACGGCGCTGGGCTCGTGGATGTACGATGCCCGTAACGACCCGATCCTGGGTCGTTACACTGAGGCCACCTCGCGGAGCTATGGTCATGCCTTCCGTTGTACACGGTGCGCCGCCGCCTGCCCTTGACGTCCGCGCCGACAGCAAACGCCATTCGCGGCGCGTGAGTTCCGTTCCGCGTGCCGTCTGCGCATCGTCTCAATCAGGATTCGTCGGCACAACAGGCTTCTTCGGCGCGTCGGCGCATGAGCTCTGAGCAGGCTCGAATTTTACCGTGCGGAGGGTGGGGAAGGGCAGCGGCGTGGTGGGGATTCCAGGTGTCTTGGATGTGCGGGGACGAAGAGGTAGATCGGTTCCGGGCGTAATCGGGAAGGAGGTGAGTGGACAATCGTGCGTTTCAGATAACGTCGCAGGAGTATCATATTCGCCAAACTAGAAAGCCTTGGATGAGGTAAGCATGTCGTCAGTACATTAAGTAGCGCGTGCGAGTTGGGGCACTCCTACCATAGCTGATCGGACTGAGGGAGCCTCCATTGGACAGCAGAACATGTTGTGACGGTCGGCGCTGACGCGCCGTGCAGACGCACGGGTTTGTATCGGTCGTTAGCCCTAGTGCTGAGTGTTGTCTGGGGCGGGTGCGTTGTGTATGATACGATGAGAAGCATTAGAGGCATGGGTGGCACTGGCCGACCCTGTGCTGGTTGAATTCGAGGATACAGTTGACGGCGGACGCAGCTCCCTGGATAAACCCTCGACCGATGTGTCTTGGCCAGCTCATAAATGGCGGGGGCAGCGTATCCTCTTGCCACGATCGAGTCCGCAGCACGATGGACACCTCTGAGGACAGGGCGTGGCACTCCGAGGTTTGCGGACTGTAAAATCCGGCGTGAGCGGTGCAGAATGTAAACTGGTGAGAACACTACGTACATAGAAATGGACTACGACACGGGCTAGGCGTGCCATCGTGACGTCCCAAATGTAAGGAGCAGGCATGTGAAGATGGCGAGGATCGTCGACGACGGGTCCGAGGACACGGTATTCCCAGAGCATGGCATAGTTGATGGGCCACTCGAATAGATCTCCTACGTGGCCTGAGGGATGTGTGCGAGGAACAGTACGAGCAGTGATGCGATCCGCAGCCCGCGACACCACCAGCACAGGGCTGAAAGGTATAAAACGCTGTCAGCGGGGAGCAAGCACATCCAGCAGGAGATAACGTACGTTTCGATGATCTGTTAGTCAAAATTTGTCGCAATGTCCATGTGCGGGAGTAGAAGCAGCGGCGTGAGGCAATCGTGCCCGATGGGACAGACCACGGTACACGTCCTTTCCGGGAATACTCGCCTGCTCGTCGACGCCCCAAGTGAGCTCCTGCGCTCTGTCGCAAGGACGTTTGACACCACAGGAAAACGGCTAGAATGGTAAGATATTGGGCAGTCAGCAAGTAGATGGACCATCCATCAGAAGAGAACGTACTCGTCCCGCAGGCCAGACTTCGTCGGGCGCCAGGATCGCGGCGACGCCGACGACGTGTCTCCCCCGGCCGTACTTGCTTGCCTGCTGGCGCCCCGAGCGGTTGTCTAGGCCCCACCATGCGCTTTTCTGAAAACCCCAGACATTCTCGACAGGTACCGTCCGTGAGGCGCTCCGCGGCGGACGATGGGTCGCGGGCCTGATCTTGCGCCCTTCCGAGTTAGGCCGCATGTGAGTGTATGCACCGAATACGATACGGGTGATCGGAATGGAGCAGGTATTGCAGAGCTATAGAGAGGAGAGAGATAGACGGTGCACGAGCGAGCAGACACGCCAGCAAGGTACACGTCGGGAGTTGCTTGAGGCCTCGCCAAGACGTGGTGCCTGACAAGGTATTTTGGCGGCTTTTGGCGGATCCGCGCAGGATGAAAATGATTGTTCGGGAAGCGTTGCATTCGATAACGCGCGCGACCGCTACTAGGCGGATTCACAGACGAGTGGTGGTACAATGACGAGGTTTCAATCAGCTGAAAACAAACATGGCACAGCCATATCACGTCATCTCGATATCTATCCGCTTCCACTGCCAGCGCCAATACGAGCCTCCATCCTCTACGCACCCATGACCCTCCACATCCAAAGCCCAGTGCACGGACGACAGCTCTGTCGAAGATCAGGATTCTCTGCCTGTGAGCGGCGTACCAGAGGAGACTCGACTTTCCGCCTGTAACGTCGAATCCTCATAAATTCGCATGTTCAAATCGTCTGGGCTCCGAGTCGCCGGTAAGCACACACTAACCCACAGACGGTGCGGCATCTGACAATCGTATATAGTCTGCACAACTTCGAAGACGGCGAGGAGCGCGAAAGGCGCATTTTGGCATTAGGCCCACTGGTCTCATACGCGTGCGTTTGGCAATGTCGTCTACGGCAGCGGCAACCCGCACAGTTGTGCCTATCTCCGCCGTATGCGCATACCTCAAACAGAAAAAAGCATTCTGGAGAACTCGCCGAGCCCATGACCTCCCAACAGCTGTGTCGCGCGATCTTGAACCCTCCAGGTGAGCTGAGTACGCTAATGCTCACCCATACAATGCGAACTGCGTTTTCTACACTGCCAGATTGATGTTTGTGAAATTTTCTAGATTTGTCGCTTATAGTTGCAGGGCAATGCATTCCCCTTTCAATGCAAAGACTTCTCTAGCATCAACTTCCTCTCCAAGCTGCTGTCCAGGTTCATCACCGACGACCACACCCTCTCGCGCGGTGTCGCAGTACTGCCTGCCTTCCTGTTCGTCGCCGAAACATGCGTGCGCCGTGGATCGTGATGAATTCAAGGTTCATCCAGAAACATATCACCCCGCTTTCCCGTTTCAGCGAGTTCTATCATTTCCGCTGGCCCTGGTTAGTATCTCGTCCGTACGAGTCTCCATGTCTGTTAATCAATTCGTGGATAAAATCAGGTGCACTAGCCGTACTATGCAGGCCACAGCAATTTTTTCGGGTGTTCCGCGGCATAGGCAAGTAGTACACTCCTTCAGAGAGAGCTCACAGTCCGCGCCACGCCGCCCTCCTTGACACCCCATACCTATGTAGGCCTCTACGGTACACGCTTCCTCCTGCCGTGCGACAGTACATGTTCCTGTCGACGGTTATCTTCGACGATATCACGCGCGATCCCCAGTGGCTGGTTGCGGGCGTCAAGTGTGCGCTTCCCCTGACTCGAGTCGCCGTCAGTCTTGCATAAGGCCTCCTCGAGACGCCCTTTCCCAACACGGGTGGGCGGGCCATGGTCTGCTCTAGAGGCCCGTCGAAGGAGGGTTCAAATCTAGTCATTAGTGAAGTCGAGCTGGGGCATCTCTACACCGAATGCAACAGCGCGGAGCACTTTGAGCGCGCTTCTAAGGTGAGTGTGCCCTCTGACGCCTTTTCCCATATTTTCTGACCATTCTGTACTACTAGAAACTTCTGTAGAAGCCGGCGTAGGACATTGACAATGTGATCGATATCTTTGTTGGGTCTTCGATCAGGGCCCGAGTCGGCTATCTGGTGATAACATCTTTATCAGGCTCGACGAACGGTGCCGTCGTGTTGCTCGATTCGGGAGGGAGGTTGATCTATCACAAACAGAGCTTCCTCCAGATGTTCAACAAGAATTTCAACAACTTATGACGAGTCGAGATGGGCCTCAACGCGACACTCAACGTGCTGGTAGGCCTCATCATGATGTATCGCACTGTGCGCGCATATACACACATCGCTAGTAGACCACCAAGGAGCTGAAGGTCTCCAGTACGATCGCCCACTGTATCTTACCCGCGAAGAAGCCCATTTGCGCTGGCGAGACGGAGACTGTACCGGTCAAACACCCGCGTAGAAGATCATCGCCATCGACCCGCGGACCGCTGCAGGTGTGTACTTTGAAGTTGTCATACCCACAGGCCGGCCTTTTCACCCCGGCTCGCAGGGCCTCGTCCCTTTCATCGCGCACTACCAGTACTCAAGGGGAGAAGCGCCGTCATCGCGCAGTGACCTGCAGACTCGGAGTGATTAGAGTACGTAGGGTCGACATCTAGTTTACGGCCTTGTCGTCAGAGCCGACGAAGCGGCGCGTGGAGTCATCGGTGAGGCTCGAGGGCACGGTTGGGCCGAGCATTGATGGTTCTAGCTGATTGCTAAAGCTGTATGACGGTGCTATGGGACCAGTTATAGGACAATCTAGACACAAGGAGCCAGAGATGCTAACCAGAATAAAACGGTGGGACTGCATCCTGTGTGGCTAGCGTTGTGCAGGCTCCGCGTACCTGAGCCCTCTGCATGGGTCTGGTACACAGGCTTGCGATGCCAGTATGGCGACAACGATTGCAAGGCTCGCCACCGTCGCATTTTTTCTTGACTACGCGACAATTGGTGCACTACGTCAGCTGAAAAATTAGACACTTTTCTAGTCAGGTGCATATGTAGCACCTACCGCCAGATACACGCGTTGGCGCGCACTCCGCTCTGGGGCCACGGGCGTCGCAGCAAACTCTCGGGCCGCAGGCGGCGCAGTCCGCTCTGGGACCGCAGGCGTCACATAGGACGGATTCGAGAGAAAGCTCATTGCTCTTACTTCGGAGAGAATGGTGTAAGAGCAGTCAGGAAGTCCTACAACGTGGATGTTGGGATGAGGTGACGTCGACCAAAGGTTTGTCAAGGCATGATTGCCTGTGCTTGATAACTTTAGCGCTGCGCTCCTCAGGCTGGTCACAGACCCTGGTGTTTGTTGTGCACTTCTCGTCGAATTCGACTCCCACCAGGCTAGTCAGCTCACTAGGAGCAAGGCATAAGAAGGGCGGGCGATGAGAGGTCAAATGCTCGCAGAGAAGACGTACCTCCATGCTCCGTGGTTATGTAGGCGTGTGGTGATAAGCTGGCGGAGGTATCTTGATACATCTGGCAGTCGTTTGGGAATTTCATGTTTAAAGGCATGATGGCAGGCTGAAGCTTTTGTATCTTACCGGATACTGCAACATTCGGCTGACGTCTTGATCGGATGCCCAGGCATCGGAATCGGACTCGTTTTCAGTTTGCTTTCGGAGTCAATGAGAAGGACATACGTCACGAATAAAAATTCATCTACCTCGAAAATGTCCTCTACCCGGAAGTACGCTCCGCAGAGCTTGATTCCTACCTCGGTACGCCATATGCTGCGCCATCGTCGCCTCCCTTCGATGTCACGCCGACAGCGCACGGCCTCGGTCTTTGTCGGGCCATCAGGCGTCATCGGCGTGTCGATGCTTGGGCTCTTAGGGACGGGCTTGAACCTGGCTGTGCGCGAACAGCAAGGCAAACCAGCGGCACATGAGTGACGAGACGTCTCGGACGCGCGGAGACGAAGGGAGGGTGTGGAGCGATTGGGAGAAGGCGGGTGAGTAAGGTGAGCAATTATGTGTTTCGCGTCGGGAGCATGATAGGTAGGCGCGAGAAAAGCGGCCTCGAGGTTGGATGCCCGAGAGGGCCCACACACGCACGGAGGGTAGCATTTGCGGGAATGAGGGTGGACGAAGGTGGAGAGTGCGGCTTCGAAATCGGAATAGGTGACGTGGACGAGGGCGGGGACAAGGAAGACGGGGTCTGGGAATGTTTGAAAGTGGCAATTTTCAGTGGTTATGCACCGAATTGCAGACTTAGATGCAAAGCACACCATATCCGCCGAAAAATGAAGCCCTGAAGGAGGTGAACATGTATTCCCTATGTCCCGTAAGATGGGGAAGACGCACCATAACTGACCACGCCACAGGATGGATGTCACGGACGCATGGCGCACTCCGCAAAAGACAGTAGCGGTGGTTGGCGACGAAGACACGGGGGATAGGGATGTGATGGCAAGCATGGTTATTCGCATTCGCAGAAAAGTTTAGAGACTGATATGCTTCTCCATGGCGGGATGGCGACGCAGTGTTTCCGGACTATGGTACACTGGGTGGGTGATTTGAATGGTCGCGGAACGAGGCCTCCGGGTTTGCAAATGTCGGCGTCGGCAAAAACGGCTAAGCGCCTGTACCAAAATGCCTTCAGACTGCTAGAAGTCCGGATCGCACGTCGCCGATGTGCCTTCTCAAGCTTCATCGGCACCCGCACTCTATGCGCATTCGCACTTCGCCGTTCGTGAGGGTGCCGGTGGTGGAGGCGGTGACTTGGCCTGTTGGGACGGGAAGGGGCCGGCGTGAGGTGAGTGAATAGATGGATGCTTCGAATATCGTCGCTATAGAGGGTATCCCCGCGCAGGCAAAATCAACCAAATAGACCTAAATGAGGTGTGCGCATCGTCAGTGGTGTACATACGAGGGGCGCAAATGCACGCACCAGGTGCTTCATGCTAGCGGGCGACGAGGCGCGTCTCATGTAGAGGGCAGTGTGCGGGAGACCGTAGTGATGCGGACGCGGCGCGCTGGTGCACGCCGCCGACGATAGCTGTCGGGAGCGAGTGCTTTGTCGCAAGGGTCGTCGGAGCGGGGGTGCATTGCATTGAATGTGTACGTGAGAAGACGGTCGACGAGTCTGCAGTGGAGTTGTTGTTGGTGCACGGACGAGAGCTTGGGAGAGGCGTACGAGACGGATGACTCTGGCCCTGACCCACCCGGGGCTGTTTTTGGCAGTCCTTGAGCGACATGGTTGGCCGGCTCATCGTCAGCAGGCCGACGTGTCCGCCTGCACTGTAGCGTCGGCGCGCCGTGTAGGTTCATATCGTGACCCCCATTGCCAAGGACAGGGGCACCCTCCTTTCTTTGGGATGACGGGGCTGAAATGAAAAGGCACGCTGTCAGCGATTAGCCGGCACATCCAGCAGGAAAAGACACACACCCACAATACGCGATTTTTTTCTCTGGGCGAGCTCTCATGCTTTGCCCGGCTCTCGTACCAAAAATGTCCTGAACGGCCTTGGAAGGCGATGTGCGCGATGCGCCGCGCGGCGGATGGTGATGCGCAGGCAGCGTGCGGATCCTCCAGGTTCGTCAGGAGGAGATTGGTCATCATGCGCATGCTATAGCAACAACAAGCGACGTGAAGCCGGTCGAAAGCGGAGTTGCTCTGAGCGTGTGCCGGGCATTGTGGGGTTTGCGCCGTAGGTAGCGCATGCACGGCAATGTTGACTTCGTCCTTACGCTAAGACGAAGGAGCCGGAGGTCTTTCTCGCCGTTATAGTCCAGGCACATCCCTGATGCTAACATTGAACCGGAAAATTGGCACTGCTGGATGTAACCGTGTTCAAGAAAATGGACAGGAAGAATAAACTACGACACTGACCTTTTCAACGTGCACGCCGAAGGCTGCACCAGGTGCGGTACTGTGTGCTGACCTTCCGATGCGCCGGTGGTTGGTCCCGACCTATGTCTGTGGTGAAGGACGCATTCCTATGTATGTACCTGATGGGTCGAACAAGACAGCTTTCGTGCGAACATTCAGCAGCGGACTTGCTTCATGTCCATCTACTGCGGGCCTAGAGGATACAACATGCTTCGGGTCCCATACACCTGGCAACGAGCACCAGACACAGCGATAGACGATGAGATTGAAGCAGAGACGCTAATACAGAACAGATGAGGCCGGAGATTGTCAGGAGCCAGTCTGAGCAGCCTCTTGGCGTGCCAGTGCATAGATTAGCGATGCAGAGCCCTAGACAAGGAGCATTCAAGGATTCGCGCCATGGGATTCGGAAAGGAACTGCCTCCGATCGTCGATCGCGCTGAACGAGTGAGTGTAATAAGAGAAAGCGTTTGAGTCAAACCACGCCGGATGAATATTCGATGAATGCGTGCCACGCGGGCTAACTCCCCACAGCCACCATCCGAGAGCGTCTGCAAGTTCCTGCCTCTTCCCACTCGCTACCGCTTGCCATAGCGAAACCTCAGTAGATTCCCTAACCACTGCGGCGGCGTCTCGTACTTGATACCTCCGGATCACCGCGAATTGCGGTACCACTCAGTGTTGTACGTCCGCAATTGGGGACTCTATCCGATTTTTTCACCCGATCCCGGGGATTTATCTTGTCTGGAATGGCTGTCCGGTCACATCCAGTGATGATAACTTCGTCCTACCGTCGCGCGTACCTCACCCTGGGCTATCTGCGCTAGCTCCTCGCTGCACACCCCAAACTCGCGGAGACCCCGGCCCCTTCAAGTTGCAAGTGAGCCCCACCTGGGGCCACTCCATTTGACCCGAACGCGAACTCAGTGGTCATCTCCTTGGTTGGCATGATCGTCCTACTTATTCACGCTCTCCTATCTGCCCATCATGGCTTACCGACTCCTCTCCCCGATAACCAGCCATATTGCCGGGGCTCGCGCGAACTGGGATCTCTCACCCGCGACTATCACCGCATCCTGGTGCCCCTGACAGTCTGGGCAACGCATTGCTGCAGACCATCGCCGTACACGTCGGCTCTAGGCAGTCCTGCACGCGAACACGCTCGTCATATGGAGGATGCAGCGTGTAGAGCTCTCCCGCCGAATCGGTACACACCCGCTCAGACGGCGCCCCCTTTTGGACATGCCTCCCGTAGAGAGCGCAAGGCATAGACGAAAGCGCATGGTGAGTCACACGTTCTCGCGTACGCCTCAAATGGGCATTCTGTCAGGCATCCTGCGGCTACACCTGCGCTGCCAGTACTCGAACTGCAAGACGCGACTGTGCGTGTCTTATCCCCGTTCGCGCGCACGTTGGGGGCCCAGACATGCTTTGAACTACCGGTGAGTCCCGATTACACGGACGGGATAGAGCGTGTGGCACAGTCTGATAGATATATCCCAATTGCGCAGGTCTGTCCTGACCATCGCTGCATGGGCGGCAGATGGCGTTCGTAGACACCGGCTGATCCCCGGGCCTTGTATTTCTATCAACTGTAGACGACTCAGCGTCAGTCTCGCCCCAAATGTATGCTTTTCACTTAGACCACATCAACATTGACAGAGCAGATCTAATCACAGCGCGATATACATTTGTTACTACCGAGAAAGGAACGACTAACGGATGACAACAATCGGGAAAACCAAGCAGAGGAGCGAGACGGTAAGCACTAGGAGATCCGTAACTAATTATCAGTACAACGGCAGGAGTCCGAGGGTATCGAGAGCGGCGCGCCGCCCTGCAACTCGGATGACTAGAAGGTGAAGAACAGCTGCGGCAGCTGTGCGCCAAACCCCGTGCTCTGGAATGCCGCAATGCCTGCGTCGTATTGGTAGGCCCCGTTGGACGCCATGTATTGACCGCGGCCGAATGCCGCCATATCAGAGGCGGGCTCGACCCAGTGACGCGGATGGTACCCCTCCGACGCTGTGTTCATCATCTCGCACTGCCAGCCTCCGGCGCCAGAAAGGACATTGACGTCCATGGGGTACTGCTCTCCGGAGTGGCCAACCGTCGACCAGAAAGGAGGGGTAACATGCGCACTGCCAACTTCGCGTGGCGAAAATGACATGGCATCAGCGCTCGGAGCTGGCGCTGAGGCCATCGCGACGGGCACAGGTGCCCCCTGGCTTACAGGCAGGGAAGGCAAACCTGCATCAGAGGACGTTAGCAGAGGTACGTAATATACAAGGCCGCAGTTTCGTCAAAAAAACTGACCCGCAGGCTCCGAAGGAAGCGTCTGTTGCCCTGCGCGAACTCGTATCTTCTTCGTCGCTCTGACGCATGTGTGCGCTTTGCCCTTCTCGATGCAGGGCCTGCACGGATTGCCACCGCTGCACTTCTTCTTGATTTCGCGGCAGTTCAAACACTGTGATGTCACACCAATAAACCAATACACATCGTCTCTGTGCAGGAGCGACACCTACCGCAAGTGCGACAGTACGTGTGCTTTGGCGACTCCGCTCTCGCAAAGCGGGATAGCCTGGTGCGACATGTCAAGCGTATGCTATGTGCAACGACACTCCCTCAAGGTTGAGGTGTACTTACCCTTAGGTCCAACGGCCGTGTCGTCGAAGGTAGCGTGGACCGGTTGAGCCAGCCGAAGCCGCGAAGGGGTCGCAGGGGGCATTGGGGATATGTTCCAACGTGGACGTACGCTCTAAAGCTGAACGGGTACAGAGAGTAGCTCGGCGGTAGCAGGGTGTTTTGGATGGAGCAATGGCTGGCGCAACCCCGCTGCTTATAAGTGCGTAGCGTTGGGTACGCATTTGCTGTTTGGTGGCAGTGTACATATGCGAGGTCAAAGAGCGCTGACCGTACCGTTCACGAACAGGAAGCTAGCGCTGCCAGTGATCGTACCGTTCTGACCGCACCGTCCCTGACAGCTGTTGGCAGTGTTATCAGAACGATAGGCCCCCTCCGAAAAAGTCGCAGAGAGCGGAGTATCAAATGAATGACTAATCCGGTGGCGCGGCGCGGGGCAGACCGCGCGCCCTCCTACCGCAGCGCTCGCTGTTGCTGGTCAACCACACGCTGCTCGTCGCTCTCTGCCCACCGCTCACTGCTCACTAGTCCCTGCTCGTCACCCGCCATGCGACGCCATGTACCCATGGAAGTCCACGATATCTCTCTTAACATGTCACATCGTGACTGTAACGAGGCTATATAGCGACGTGGCACCCGCCCATCCCCCACCTTCGCTCACCACTCCACGACCCACTTCCATCGCCCCTCTTGCTATGTCTCCCTCGCGCACGACTGGACATGCCACCCCCACTACTACATATCCAGCCTCGCTCTTTGGGTAGCTCGGAGGAGGCTAAGAAGCTCGCAAAGGCCGATGAGCAGTGACACGGCCTTTTTACAGGGCTGGTGCGTTTTTTGACACTCTCGCAACGATCACTCCAGCCGTGAGCTGAATACGTATGACCTACTGCGTGGGTGGCAGCCTTGTCATGGCATGAGTATATGTGATTGCGAGTACGCTCAATTCCCGAAGGCCCTCTTTCCATGCCGAGACTGGTAGCACGGTACATATGTCATCCATTCACGTGAGTCTCCTTTCAATCCGAAGCTCTGTAAGTCCTGTGCCCGCCGCCTTATAACACCATTTCCCGGTGCCCGTACTGGTCGAATGACCCTCGAGTGTCGGGTTCGTACTCCCAGTTGTTTCCCCTTTTCTGACGTCCCTACTACTGTCATCTATAGCGTTGTAGAAACCGACGACGACGCCATTTTGTAGTCTCCGTACAGCACTGTTTTTTTGTCTTGAACGCAGTATAGAAAAATATTTGATCTCCGCTCGAATTGCCTCTGTGTGATTTATTTTACGAGGGGCCTATCGTTCTGATAACAGCTGGAAAAGGAAGCTCAGGCTAGCGCTGCCAGTGATCGTACCGTTCTGACCGCACCGTCCCTGAGGAAGCTAGCGCTCTTCTCGCGCGACGCCGACTCCCGCCTCGTGTTCGAACTGTGAGCTCATACCCAGTACTTCTGCCGACGGTCCAATCGAATGACGCTCCCGTTCTTCACTTACACTCTCACATCGCTAGCGTTCGGGCCCCGTATGATCTGATCAGGCTCGTAAAGCAGCCTCTATGCATTCAGAGGCAACAGACGATATTAAAACCTCTTGTGAGGGGGGTCCGAAGGTGTCGATGAGTCCCGCCACTAGTGAAGATCTAGCGTCGCGTCTACTCTCCCAGAGGCAGACCTTTCACACTCAGATCTTTTGAACTCGGTGGGGAGGACGAGTGTGTACGTCGCATCGGGTGGTGTCGCGCGGCGTATTCCAGCCCACGCGTTCTTTGTCCTCGTACCATCCCGTAAACCTGCTCGACATCTTGAGAGTCTCCCATTCCGCCCATGAGAAGTGAACCTGAGGTCGCGCAGAGAGCCAAAATGTATGCAATAGTGTCTCGCTGCCAATGAGAAATGACTGACTAGCTCTCGCTGATCCACCTGTGCTCATGAGACACACTCCGTAGTGTCTGGAACCGAGTGAACAGGTAATCCTTAGAAGCTGCTCGCCGACATCCCCGTCGGCGCGCGCGCAATGGCAAAAGTCCTCGCCTCTCTGGTTTTGAAAACGGAAACTACAGTCAAACAAGGTTATACTAGTCTCCTGGGCTCCTCCGGTTTCTGCGCTACGGCAACCTTCGCCTCTTCGACCTTGGTGTTGACTACACCCTTGACAGTCGCAGCGGACTCCTTTGCGGTCTCTACCACCTCACGCGCCTTCACTTCAGCACCACTGACGACCCTGTCTCTCCATCCGAGCGTCTCGCGCAGCTTCAGCCCCGTCGCCTCTTCTACTCTGCCCACCAAGGCCGCGACTCCGCTCGAGAACTTCTCCCTACCGCTCTGCGTAGCGTCCTTAGCGCGGTACCACGTCATCGCGCTGTGTTGCTTCGCGATCTCGTGCTTCTCCGCGAAAGCGGGGAAGTGCTTCTCCTCCAGCTCAGCGAGGTAGGACGACACGTTGTGCGTTGTCTTGGGAAGGAAGTGGTTGAGGGAGAGGATGAGTAGCGTAGGGGGGAGGGTAAGCCGCCAGAAGATGCGGTTACGGGCGAGGACAGAGCCTGTGAGCGTGGCGACGCCGACGTAGAGGATGCCAGGGGTAAGCGGTTCGTCGGGGGCGACCAGGGACTTCACCCTGCCTATCGCAAGCGCACCAGAGTTGATTATGCAGGAAATATGAAGATGTAAACGACACGCACTTTCGACCGCCTGCTCCACGCCGATCCATCGCGAGATGACGCTCTGCACTCTACTGTGTGCGTCCAGGTACGTCGTCGTCACGGCTCGCCGGGAAACGCCTATTTGCTTTTCGAGTTCCGATGGTGTCTCAACCAGGACCACATCTGAGTCGGGTGAGGGGTAGATCGGCATCTTGAGGGTGTGTTAATTGGTGAAACTGCTGGGGATGGGAAAAGGACGAGCACACCTTGTCGCGTGTCTCGTGCACGCTGACAGCAATGGCCGCCGCCGCAATGGCCCTCCTACCCTAGTTCCTGTTGAGCACAGCGTGTAGACGCAGAGAGGAGGACGCACATACCGCAAGTACTCTGAGCATGTGAGTGTATAGTTTGAGAAGAGCCGGCTACAGGCGCTCACGACGTGAGGTCCGGAAACAGCCGGAGCCTCCACCCAGGCGCACCTTCGGCCCGTCCGCGTCAGTGCCGTTCAAGCAGGTTCAAGCGTTCCCTCCCCGCCAGAAGTTCGCACATCTTGCTTCATCTAGCTCAAGACGCAGCCAGTAGGCGGCACACGCTTAAGACGCATGAAGTCCCTCCCGGTCTCTGTGTATGCCACGCCAGCTCCGATATACTGCTGCTGAACATTCAGAAACGACCAGACGAGCTGGCGGCCGTGTAAGCTAACGTTGCACGCCGTATGAACGAGGCAAAGGATTACCTCTCTTGCATTCAGTGAAGGTACGAACACTCTTCAACACGAATTTGAGTAGGCAAGAAGCATCTGCATCCTAGGCGGCGTTACTACAACACGCCACCCATCCTTGTCGGCGATGTCATACTAGGTCTTTGCCTGCCGCCGCTGCCAGTAGCACTTCGCGCACTGGGTTGCATAGGTTCTTCGGCGATTACGAGACTATCTGTGTGCAACTGCGGTCGCGCAGAAGAGGAACCACGCGCCGCGACGAATCCCCGAGCTCGCCTTCGCCGCTCGATGACAGTCGCCGCTACAGTGGCCTGATCATCTGTCGCTTTGCGGCTCGAACAGGACCACCTCGGGGCGTGGCCTCTCACGGATGGGCTTCGTCTCGCCCTTGTGACCTATGTGGTTGCGACGTGCAGTGCGGTGGTTCCACTCCGATGCTGGTGCGTGTAAGAAGAAGGCTGCGGGATCTGTCATCTCTGTCTTCTGACTATTAGGTTTGTGGTAGGAACAGCTGCTTCCGGATATCTGGATGGGGAGCGGGACTCGGAGAGGACTGTACTTGCGCTTCACTGCTGGACGTCAACCTTTGCGCCGCTCACGCTTGATTTTCGCCGCTTCGTGCCGGTGCTCGCAGGCTTGTCTTCTTCCGCATGTTCGACCACTTCCGTAGTCCATCTTCAAGGCACAGGGTTGGCTTCTGCCCTATCTTTCTGACGCTGTCGAGGCCTTGAAGAGGCGGCGCCAGGCGGCACATGGCATCTTATCGTCGTAAGTAGTGCGTCATTCCACCGAATTATCCTGATCGTACATACAAAATAGGCTACACTACATCCGATGCGGCGCAGAACAAGTGTCCACTCTTCCGCCCTGCCAACGTCCTGCGACCGCCTCCACCTATCCGCCGCTCACGCTGTCGCCGCAAGCACTCGCGTCGCACGCCAACTCTCCTCCCGCTGCGGCACCCTCCCGAAGTCGACCCGCTGGCCGGTGACGCGCTCCGCCGCACTCCAGCCCCATCCCGCGCCGTATGCGGTGCGCCGCCGCCTGCCCTCGACGTCCGCGCCGACAGCGGAAGGCATGCGCGCCTTGGCGCTGCTGGATTTTCGCCCCGTGCGCCGTCTGCGCGCCACGTCCGTCTTCGCCGGCGCATCAGCCCTTGCCGGCGCATCGACATCTACACTCTCCGCGGGTTTGGGCTTCGCTGTTCGCGAAGGTGATGATGAACGAGCGAGCATGAGGGGAAGGTGGGCGGCGACTTGGGCGTGTTGGGAAGGGGAGAGGCCGGCGTGGGGTGATGATGAAAGAGACAAGAGCGAGGTGAGTGAATAAGTGTGTGTTTGGGGTATCGTTGATGCAGGGGGTATATCCGCCAACGCGAGAAGGTCTAAATGAGGTGAGCATGTCGTCAGTACATCTTGTCGCGTTCACAGGAAGCGCGGGCGCACGTACCAAAGCGGTTAACGCTGATAGGGGATGAGGGGCGCCTCGAATGGAGGACGGAGTGCTCGGGAAGAGACGACGCGGATGCGCCGCGGCGGTGTACAGGTACGTACAAGCCGCCAGTGGTGGGTGCCGGGAGCGAGCGCGCGACCATAGCGACACGGCGGGAAGTGTTGGAGATGGGGATGGCAATGGGGCTCGACATCGTGCTGAATGCGCTCGGGTGATGATTCAAAGAGTAGCGGAGGGCTAGGGCGGATGTTGCGAGCGACGAAGAGAGCAATACACAGGCGAGAGCTGGGAAGACGCGTCCGGGGTAGTTGACTCTGGTGCAGACTCCCCGCCGCCCGCGTGCAGCCCTTTATAGTATCCCCGAGCGACGTGTACGTTGGTCAGCTCGAGCGACGTGTCCTCCGACCCCGCCTCGGCGCACCGCGCACGCACGCGGAGTGACGCGCACTTTCGAGCACGGGCCTGAAAGTCCTCGAACTCGCTAGAACCCGCCCGATTTGGAAGGTGCCTAGTGGTGGCTATGCACCTGATGGGCGCTCCGTAAGTAACGGCCTGCATTTGAGCCGGTCGGTTCCGAGGCTTATCCGCACCAGCATAGCGCTCCGTTTCCACCCGGTGCATCGAACAGACGCACGATTAGAGCTATTTCGCAACGGGCGATTTTGCGTGGGGTAGTACCAATCAGGAGTGGAGCAAGGCCAAAGTCCATGCGAGAGACGTCTGGAGCAAGGCCAAACGAGCTCCACCCGAGGCAGGGCAAATGCGTTGCGAAACAGCTCTATTGGTAGAAAACGTACAATAGGTGCTCGGGTAGTACACTACAAGATGCAAGGATATCTAGTTCGCTGTGATCCAAGAAGCTAGGCGAGGAAAATGTACGGCAGATAACGAGAACACCCACAGAAATGAAAGAAGTGCTATGATATATGCCAGACACGGTGCGGAAGTTCACAACTTCGAGAGGATAAGGCCAATAACAACAAAGATAATCGTCGACGGCGGGGTAACGACGCAGTAAGCCCAGAAGATGGTGCGGCTGATAAGGCGTTCGAACGCATCCCCAGATGCGGCCTGCGTAATTTGCGCCAGCGTGAGCGCAGGAGGTGACGCGATCAATAGCACGTTGGACACAACGAAGACCGGGCTATAAGGACAATTATCAGCAAGTGGCCGACACACTTATCAGAAGGAAACGTACTCGTCGAAGACTTCCTGCAGGTCAAACTTCGTCGAGATGACCATGAGCGGGAGCAGGAGGAGCGGCGTGACGATCATGCGCGACAGGATCGCAACGACGACGGTCCGCGTCTCCCCGGGTCGTACCTGCTTGCTCGCGGACGCCCCCAGCGAGGGTCCATGCTCGGCCCGGCGTTTGCCCGAGAACATATCCCGGACGTTCTCGAACAGAAACGTCCGCGACGCACTCCGTGGTGGTTGGTGGTGCGCAGGCAATTTGCGTTCCTCCGTGTCCGGTGGGGTGTAGAAGTAAGCGCCGAGGACGACGAGGGTGATCGGGATGGAACAGTTGCCCGCGCTCGCGATCGCGCCCTTGACAGGAGGGAAGTGGTCGTCAAGCGCATGTTGTAGCGGTTGTATGCACGCAACGACAAGGGAGGCGAGCGCGGCCCAAAGCGGAGTAGTCATGAACTCGTTGAACGTGCGCCATGTCTTCTGAGTCTTTTGCCGAAGGCGACGTATACGCGACTGCCAGCGCGAAGACGTGGGCTCTGTCCGCGCGCGTTGTGAAGGTGGAAGCTCGGTGTCATCGTCGTCCTCGTACTCCGTTGTCGTTCCCGATGCTGATGACGAATTGGGAAGATCGACACGACGTGATGCAGGTGTATTCGGAAACGAGTAAAAGAACTTGCGGCCGCCGACCTCTTCGACAGACAGGCCGGGGTTCGCACCGGGCTGCGGTAGTGTGCGGGTAGCCTCCGATGCGATCGATCCCGAGGAGCCCTCGTGGCGGAGGACGCGTTCTTCTTCGGCCGATGGCGGGAAAGGGACCTCGTCCGGACTCAAGAGGGGACTTGCTTCGTCGTCTTCCGCCTGCACTGGCTCTGGGTCTGCTTGCGATAGCAGTCGAACGCCGTAGCTCCAGCGCACCTGTGAAATAATCAGAGGGAAAAGAGGCGGGCACATGTCTGTTCACACATACCACCATGCCCATCGTCGAGTACAACACGAGGTATGTGAGCGCGCGGCCCACCATGGCGTCATTGTTATCGTCATCTCCCCACTTCAGCCCTGGTACTGTGATGACAAGACTTTGCATCAAAGCGATGGGGAGCGAATTCGAGTTCATGAACATCGCAGACGCTATAGCAAATGACCTTCGTGGGGAGTTAGAGCCCCCACGTCCCATATTCGCAGGTAAAGACGAACCTTTGCGACCTCTTCAACCTCAGGATAACACTAAGCACGTACGCAGAGAGCATCGAGACCAGTGTAGTCACAACGAAGACTATGGGTATGACCCATAATTCTCGCAACTTGGCTAGAATTGCGGTCAGTAGGCGCGCAGCGCTTTTGGAGAGAATGGCAGACCTGGTGACAAGAAGAACGCGACTTTGGAGAAGAGTAGGGAGGGCGTAAATATTGAGACATTAAGTCTATTGAGTTTCTGACCGCGATGAAGGTGAGCGCTATGTCGAAACGGGAGGCCAAGTGCATATGGCAAGATACAACGTACCTTCTGCGTAGTCCTATCAAGTATACCCTTCTTGGCAAGAAAGTACCCAGCAGCACATATTAGAAAGACCTCGAGGATCGACTGCGGCCAAACGCGTTGATTAGCTTCCGGAGGTTAGCTGGTTGGAAAACGCGTGTACTTCGAAGGTAGTCTTGAGAAGGGGTCCAATGGGGGTCCCAGGCATCGGACAACAACGACCAGGAGAATGTGAGATGTGGAGAGAGGAGAGACAGAGCTCAGGGAGATGAAAGCAAGAGGAGAAAGAGGAGTGGGTCTAGGCAGCCTGTGTCATACTTGAGGGTGTTGGTGGCGCAGAGCGGACGAGTTATCTTGGCGTCGCGTCAGTTATCTGGCGAAGAGTCCCGGCCAGATCTAGATCTCCCCGGTCAACCCCCTCTTTGCCGGCCGACTTCGCCGCCGCCCCTGCAAAATCTGCCCAGCTTGCGGCCGTTTGCCTCCGGTGCCTGACCGGTTTCGGATCAATATCACGCGAGATAAGATGATCTGCAGCTCGCATATCGCATGTTTTTTGGATGGCTCTCGCACTGCGGCGGTGACCTCAGCGCAGTCGCAGCCAACCTCACTTGAATGGGAACACGCTGCTCAAGCATGGGAAGCGGAGATATCATTGGTATCTCGGATGCTCTACCCATCCTGGAGTTCGGCTCGGCGAACTTTACGCCCTTGCCAAGTTTTGCAGAAAACCACCTCTGTGCTAGTAGGTTCCTTGCTCGCAAACCTCACAGCTACTCCACGCGCTCATACTCATTCCGTATGCATTTTGCCGATACAGGTGTACCAAGGTCGACTCCGGGTGTTATAAAATCCGGCACGAGATGGACAGGGGGACGAACGTGCGTACGCCAAGCGTGGGTGAACCGCCTCGGGATGTCAAATGCCAACCACGTTCAAGGTTTGGCCATTATAAGCCATTATGGGAAATCCATCCACTCGGCGTCGTTAGAGCGGGCGATTGTCTTGGCACCCATCCGCAATGCACGCGTCATGTACTCACTAGATCTAAGTCTCGGGGTGAGAACTTCACCGTCGTGCGGTAGAGAACCCGGGGCCGTCGTCGGAACCGATCACAAGCAGGAGGACGCGAACTGTGGCAATAGACAGGCGGCATCTCGAAGTCTAGAAAAGTACTGCGATGCAGAACTCTCGATCGTCACGTCAAGTTGCAGCCAACGCCTCGGTCCGACTCAGTGTACCAATCGGGCTGAGCGCGACGCTGCGCGGCAGAGGGAGGTGTCGGGCATGCTTGTACGAGCGGCGGGGAGTGTTATATATCATATGGCCGTTATAGGTCTATCGAGTATATGTTGTAGTCAAGATGCCACTATAGTTGAACAGTTGTGGCGCGAGGATGTGGGGTACAAAGACTTGGAAGTTCATAACTGGGGTCGTTCGCGAGACATCCGAGCGATATAATGCCACTCGGGCTAAGCTGTGGCGGCATCTTGAGAGCTCAGAAACTGGTATGGCGATGAGACTGACCTCCGATGTGTCTGGAGATGATGTATCTTGGCATGCGGGTTGGACGACGAGAACCAACGCAGCCGCCAGAATATTGGAAACCGCCAGCCAGCTTGAGGCGGCATGTATGAGGCAACGGCGAGGTTCCCGTTCTTCAACCCTTCAGCGGCATGGAGGTGCATAACTGGATAGAGGTGAATCGCGGCGCCGTCGTTGGGGTGATGTGTTTGTATAGGTGCCTTCAAAACAAAACGCGAAGGCAGAAACCGCTGTCAGTAGGTTAGAGCATATCAAGACATGTATTACGCACACCGCTTCCGCTTGCACTGTGATATACCCATCGTCGCACGCGTGGGGGATTAAACGAGCGTATCGTGTCCCAGATGACGATACTCTCCGTAAGCGATGCGCCTAGCTGACTAGCGGGAAATATATTAGGTATGGCCGCTAAGGACACCACACACGTCCACGAGATACCTTGCGGATGCGTTGCAGATAAACTGTATATTCGAGGCCTTTGTAAAATTAGTGATGACCTGTCGTAGGAGAGAGAGATGTCTCTGTTAGATTCAGATCATGACACGAGTCGAATTCAGAACACTTGCGGCGATATATTTTCGGGGTGGTCATAGCTGTGGCTACAGGCTACTAAGTGAGCGACAAGCGTGCGTGCCTCCCGGTCCAGCGTTCAGGAAGAAGCCATGACGCCGAGACGAGAAGCTGTGGGCCGCTCTCGCCCTTTGACTGTCCGGGTACTTGGGGAGTAGCCGGGCACCGGCGGGACCATTGTTGCCCTGGATGTTTCGCAGCACCTCTAGCACGTCCAGGCCACTCGGGACACGGCGAAAAGAGCGACGGAGTGCCTTGAAGAGCCTCCAACACCGCCCTCCACGCGAAAGGAGGCAGCATGTCCAGTACTAGTGAAAGACCCTTAGGTAATTCCCGATGTACGAGCGGAGGAATCAAAGAAGCGTTTAGCGGACCGAGTAGTCCCGCCGGGGGCCCATCCACAGGTGAACACAAGACCGCCGTTACACCAGGTTGGAGGATACAGTGGCCTAGACGTGTACAGGGTGATCTGCAGGTCAAACTAGGCCAGAAGGGGATTACACCAGAGAGGGGATCGCCAGAGGTGCGAACGGCTTCTCAGAGAGGGAAGCATGAGAAATCAAGCCGGCGTCAGGAAGAGCGTAGCCGCGAGGGCGTTGGGACCGGTGACCGAGGAAGGCAGGATGTCGCCCTTCCGGAGATTCTTGTAGATCCACATCGACAGACCGTGAGTATGCTGTTCGGAGCGTGGTCAACTCCCTAGGGGTCTCCGCGAGGGTGAGGGCAACAGCTGCGGGATGCGCAAGTGCTGCAACTATTAGCTCGGACTTGACTTAGCGAAGTACACAATTTACCACAGCGTATTTCGCCCGTTGGCAGATCGGACGCATTATCAAGGGACCCGCTCTACGCCCACAGGGATTCCCGCGCAACAATTCAGATACCACCGCCCTTTTCAAGCGGCGCACGCGAGACCCTCCGCCCCGGACGGGAATAGAGAAGGCCTGTGCCTTCGCGCCTGGTTAGGCTGAAAAAATATAGTAATGTCAGCGCAAGCATGCTGACCGCGGGAACTCACGCACTCTGTATTGCACCACACACTCCTTCCGACCTGTGGGCTGGAATAGGCCGTCCGCAGATGCTGCACTGCTGCGCGGACTTCCACTGGTGCTTGCCCGCCGTCAACTCGGAGGAGGCGGTTGTTGACTAAGCGCCCTGGGCGCTGAGTTAGGCGCAGCTGGGAGGCCCATTTCCCACGTGGACTCTCTTCGAACTCCCCTAACATCAAACCACACCTCCGCTACGACGCCCGGCGGGCTCTGTCTCCAGTGAGTCGGTCTTTCGTTGTGTTGGGGGATGTAGGCGTTGTCGGGAGGGCATCGAGTCTGACTCTGTGACGGAGAGAGAATTTGGGCGCAGTGCGCGACAGAAAAGGGCGGCGGGAGTTCTGGCGGCGACGATTCGGAAAGGGCGATTTGAGTCGGAGTGAGTAGCCCCAGATCCATGCTCGTCGCCGCTCGCGCACCTTCTCTCTTCGTTGTGAACGACCTCCTCGACGTCTACAGCATCGCTGAACATGGCTAACCCATCGCTCGCCCGACAGATCTCACAACCACCACGTATCGCTGCGCGTCGCTTGTTCATCCCTCCTCGCTGTCATCGTACACCATCCGTCACATAACATGTCCTCTGAACCTGCGAAATCGTCGTCATCGTCTTCGGCGTCGCCTCAAGAAGGTGCTCAACCTCCACCGGTTCCACAATATGCCCAGCCCCCGCCCTACGGTGGCCACTACCCTCCCCCACCTGGCCCGTACCCGCCCTTCTACGCCTACCCTGTCCCCGACCCTTCTCATCACGATCCGAACGCGCCCAATGGCGCACCTGCGCAACCGGTTGCGCCGTTTTTCATGGCTGTCCCCCCGCCGCCACCTGGAATGGTGTACGCGTATCCGATGCCACCCACAGCGCCTGGTACGTTGATTCACTCCGTCTGAGACATCACTCCTCATCTCCTGTATTTCCATGCAACACTGTCCAGGGTATCCCTACGCTGCAGGTCTGCCCCCACCGCAGCCTACGCCCAAAGCAAAGCGCAAGCAAGTAAAGATGGCGGTGAGTAAGCTTCTTTTTGTCATGTGTCTCCGGAATACACCATGGCGATCAATACCCGACCGGTGTTTCTCGCGTTCTATCATCTTGCACGAAACACCGGTTGTCCCAGAACAGGCGGGTGCGTCATGAGAGAGCCAGAAGCTATTGTGGCTTCGTCGAGCCGCATACATCCAGCGTATTCTCAGCATCTACATCTCATATTGATATTCCATTATCCAGTGCACAAATTGCGCCGGTGCTTGTAAACGCTGCGACGAGGCACGCCCCTGTGACAGATGTGTCAAGTACGGGCTCGCGGAGACATGTGTAGACGGGGTGCGCAAGGAGCGCAAGAAGGGTATCAAGCGCGGCCCATACAAGCGCAAGAATCGTAATGCGTCTGGTGAACCTTCTACTGGTGAGTATCAAGTTTTCTGCTGCCATTTCTACCAACTATGTGACCGCTGACACGGCCTCAGCAGGGGAAGGAGACCAGCCGGTGGCTGCACCCGCCGGCTACCCTATGCCTCCTGAGGGCTACCCGTTCCCATTCGTCTATCCGCCGTACGGATACATGCCCCCGCCCGCCGACGGGCAGCAGCACCCCGAGGGCGCCCCGAACGGCGCCCCACCAATGCCGCATCCCGTTTACCCGCCTTATCCCACCATGTATCCCCACCCGTACGGCGCGTACCCGGGCGCGCCTCCCATGGGGTACCCTCCGATGATGGGCGCCCCCGTCGCCACTTCCCCCAACCCCTCTGCGAAGCCCGACTCCTCTGGGCCTGCCCCTACGAATGGTTCAGTGTCGGCGGAACCGACGAAGAGCAAGAAGCGCTCGCGAGCCAAGGGCGAAGAGGGCTCTCGGTCGCACAAGAAGCACAAGGAGGCCCGCGCGGACGACGGGCAGCCGGGCGGCGAGGCGCTGCCGAAGGATCCCCCGCAACCGTCGCCCTTCGTGGGTCACCCTGAGGGAGGACCGGCCGCTACGTTCAACGGGCCGGAGCCACGCCCGCTCATGGCGACGATGTGACGACTTCCGCGGTCGCCGGCAGACAACCATCTACGTCTGCGCCGCTGTTGGACCGCTGCCGTCCTGCGCACGTCATTCTCCTGGGAGATGTGTTCGGTCTTTGTGGTTGCGGCCACATGTTGCCTTCCCCGGCCGGCGTCGATGTGTTATCGCAATAGATATCGCACGTTCTCGTTCTCGTTCCCTGTCTCGGTCTTGGCTGCCCGGTCTCGGCTCCACGCACGGCGCTGAACCCATCTTCATGTTCTTTGAGCACCAACAGTGTCACGGACCTCCCCCACGCCAGCTGTCGCGGCCCCCGCACGGCCGGCGATGCGGTGGGGAACGGATGCTGTTGCTGGCCAAAAAGCTGCAGAGTGGTTTTGTATGTGCGCCCTGGCTTATAACTACCGCGTATAGAACAATCTCGATGGGCTCTGTATGTATATGTCGATCGTGTCCCGTCTGGGCTCGATCTAGGGTACCGAATAGGGTCTGCTTTGTGGTGTTGTGTATGTGTACGTTGTGTTGTTTTGTTCTCCTTTCCGTTACGCCGCCTTCGATTTCCGTGTCTGTCATGTAGTGGCATAGAAGCGTGTCTCGATCACGATTCCCGCCACCACGTCGGTGGCGGAGGATCGGGGTCGTCCACGATTGGTTCTAGGATCGATCATGTATGCTCTTTCGCTTCTTGTTTTCTGTGTACGAATAACTCTGGTATATATATGATCAGGTGTCAATATATCTGCGCAAAGATCGTTTGCTTGTACGTGTGGGGCCATGGAAGGGTCGTCTGTGTTCTGTGATGCTGGTTGACATGATCGGTGATCTCATGAGATGTGACGCAGGACTCCTTCCTGTCAAGGAAATTGCCCGCCGATCTCCCTTTAGACAGGAATATATCTGTATGATGAATCTCCATAATAGTTATCCGACACGTTAGTACTGCGTTGGAAAGTCCACTGCAGGAGAAATTTACATAGACGCTCGTGGCCGTCAACTTTGCGAAGTGGTTGTTTGTTTCTAAGGCTGCAGCCAAACAAAGACCCGGGACACCGCGGAGGCCAGCCGGTCGCGCGCGCTGCTCCAACAAATCTTTCCAGCTCACTCTGTCTGCAACGTCCACCATGTCTGCCATCCGTGCCCTTCGTCAGCTTGCCCTTCCCTCTTCTCGTGCTCTGGCCTCGCGTGCCGTGGCCGATACTACCGCGCGCAGTGTCCTCGCGGCTCGTGTTGCGCCCGCCATTGCGTCAAGGGCGTTCTCCGTGTCGGCGCGTCGCCTCGGCGAGGGTACATGTGAGTAGCATTTCTCCGTCTCCGAGAAGTCCCTCGGGGACACCGATGTAGGCTGATACTGACCAAATTTGACCCGGTAGCCGATGTTGCGCTGGCACAGAGGCTGGGAGAGGAGCTGAAGTACGAGACTGAGGCTGCCGCGCCCAGCGAGCCTGAGTTCCTGAAGGCTTTCAAGGCGCAGGGCACCTGGGCTGTGAGTTGGTCGATGTTTGCTCTTCATGCTTGATGGCTTATGTTTCCACGTAGGTTGAAGACACTGCTGGCGCAGATGAGGTCACCCTCAGCCGGAAGTTTGGCAACGAAGAGTACGTCTGCTGTCACTCCTTCTCGCTTTCGTTCTGTATTCACGTCTCCTGCAGCATTCGGTTGATCTTCTCCATTGCCGACATCCAGACTGAGCAGGAGGCGGAGTTCGAGGAGGGTGAGGAACCTGCTGAGTCCGAAGAGAGCGAGCAGCCCCTGCACTCGTACCCCATCCGGTGCTCGTTCTCCTTCACCAAGGTCAATACTTTACGTCTTGCTGCACTTTTCATTCGCTCATCTAGTATGCACGCTAGGGTGGCGCACCTGGTGCTCTGACCATCGATGCGATGTGCCAGGAGGGCACGTTCGTGATCGACAACATCTCGTACTACAACGACGCCAAGGTCGGTACTGAGCTCACCGCTGAGGCGGACTGGAAGCGGAGGGGATACTACCTGGGCCCTCAGGTAAGCCTTGACGTCATCACATGCGCTCCCCGATGTATGCTCACTGGTGACGGCATAGTTCGACACTCTCGACGTTTCGCTTCAGGATGAGTTCGACAAGTTCCTCCAGGAGCGCGGCATCAACCAAACCCTGGCGTACTTTGTCCCTGAGTACGCTGAGCACAAGGAGCAGAAGGTTCGTCGGCCCCGTTTCATGAACCTCGAGATCTTTGCTGAACCTTATGTTGTCTGTAGGAGTATGTTCGCTGGCTCAAGAACGTCAAGGACTTCGTCGAGGTTTAAGATGTTCGCGATACTCTCTTGACTCCCCGCGCGACAACCCTTAGTTTAGACGGACCCGTGGGCCGCGGCCCTCCAAAAGATGTTCTATAATCGTACGTACGTAGATCTTGCTCCTACGCCTGATACACACCCTCCTCGTTGTTCGGAGCGTCTTGATGGTGTGCCGCCAACAGCGCCGGTCTTCATACGCGTGGGAGCATACTTTCGCTTGAAAACAGTGCACCTTTCCGAATCGATTTGGCCAAGATATGTATGGGGTTAAGCAGTGAGTGACCTTGAGAACAACGAAAGCGATTGACTATGTTGTACATGAGAGCGATAGCAAAGTAGAGTGAGTCTTCGTATATATCACCTATGTTACATTCTTAGCGGACCTGCGGCAACAAAGGTGCCCTCTTCTCCCAAATCTACCCGGCCGATGGGGTTGCTTTTACGCGTCCACGCGCGACCCTGCGGTGGCGCTTTTACAAGGCGTGAAAGACGTGAAGCCTCTGCCTCCATATTCGACTCGCACTCTCTGCCTCCAAGCCGTACGCTCGATCTCGCCTCCGAATCTAGGGGACCTCGCCCTCGTCTCAAGGAACGGACCTCGACGGCGTCTCCGGGTGCTCGATGTCGACCGGGTGGTGCAGGTCCGCAAAGAGTGGATCCTCGGACGTCTCGAATGTATCCGCCTCCGTCTCCTCCGTCTCGCGGCTCCATCCACTGCCACAGCTGAACGAACGCGCGTGGCTCTTGGAGCCGACGCCGAACGTGTCGAGCGGCGCGCCCATGTTTCCGACGACGCTTGTGGAGAAGCGCAGGCGCGAGAGCTCGGCGTGCCCAGACGCGAGCGTGTCCTTGCCGCCGTCGAAGTCCGGGTGTGAGGGGACTGCGTAGGCGAGGTACACTCCGCGGAGGTCGAGCATGAACCGGCAGGAGAAGATAACGGTGAAGCTGTGGAGCGGGGGCATCAAGGTTGCGTGAGTGGGGTATATATGGAGAGCTGGGCTATGGAGGATGCGCACACTTGATCAAAGAACGGCCAGACTTCCCAAAGAGCAAAGACCTGCGGCCAACGGGAAGCTATGTGAGTGGAATGCTCGTTGATGAGAGACGGCGCAAACTGACGTTCCCAGCCTAATTGTAGCCGCATATCTCCGTCAGCTGTGCGCGGAATTCAAGCAGGGGCTTACTCACAGACATCGAGACAATTCCGCAGATTTGGATGACCATAATTATGCTGGCGCGTTGGACGTCTCAGCGCACCGCCCGGTCTGACGCTCAGTTCTCCCACTCACAGAAAATATAGGGTCCCTGGCAACGGTCAGTCCTCAGATCTCCGATACCAGCAGAGTTCGAATGACTCACCGTCACGGAGAAGGAGCGTCACCAAGGGCGTGTGTAGCCCCAAACGGCGCGACTCGCGGTGCACCCCGAGCGTTCGCAGCCAAGTCAAGACCAGAACGGTTGCATCGAGCGCGAGCCCTGCGGCACGCGACGCGATACCCACTAGAACGCGCGGTCATTTTCAGTTTTGTGCGGACAAGAATCCTCATGAAGAAATTTCCTACTCCTTGATCGGGTGAGCACTCACATAGCTCAGCGTAAACTAGCTTGCTACTCACTGTGCGTAGATCGCGTTGTCGATGTCCGCCCCGCAGCCGAAAAGCGGCGCGCCAAATGCGATTGGACTATAATGCACTTGATTGTACTATAGGCAGCGGTCAGGATGGAGAACCAGTACGCAGGTAGGTCGCTCACGATGCTTAAGATCGGTCTCAAGGGCGTTAGAACGGTGAGAAGGGCTAGGGGCACCCATCCTTTTCCCCAGATACCTCGCACGCGCAACATGAGAAACACTAGACGAGTATGGTCAACCTTAATCGGTGTAGCTGAACAGGCAAGCTCGCCTCCGAACATAAGGTAGCTAATGTCTGTGAGTGCGTCATCCAACCGTAAAACGGGGACACAGCTGATAAGGAAAACTTAGTTAACGCTTCGGAGACGTAAACATGCAACTGCGTGGACGAACCTCTGAAAGCACATGCCGAGTGCGATAAGGTCTGTCAGTGGCTGAAGTCAACCTTGACACCGTGTCCGCACTAACCTCGTCTTGAACAGTAGGCAGGAACACGCTGACCAACAACACGATCCTCTCCGCCACGGCCACATACCGCGTAACGAGGAAGACGGCGGTTGCACCGGTGAACTTCCTGCGCCATATCCGCTGCACTTCGCTCGTTAATGTCATAAGCGTGTCCGCGAAGAGGAGGGCTATGGTCATTCGCTCGATCATCCATATGTGCAAACATCATGAAATAGCGCGACGCTTACCCGAGGATGCGATGATGCAGTAGTTTTCGACTACACTGTTGCGATCGAGGAGGCATGGCATTAGTATGTTTCACATTTCGACGGAACAAGAACGGTGTTTCGTACAGTCGACCATAAGTATCGAAGATCTCTTGAGTGAGTTCCGGGTCTAAGCCATCGGAGGACATGGCGGCCTGTAGCTGGAGTCTCCAACCGACGACTCGGAGGGAGGCCTGCTTCGTAGCAACGGAACTGGTGGAGGACGGGACGGGACAAATATCAGTACGTGGTGGCTTTATCAGCAGTCGGGGTACGCATCTCTTATAACAGGCACGGATTGGTGCAATCTGCATTGAGCGTTTCCCTGTTCTCCACGGGGAAAAGAGTGCAGAGGACGGGGAGCTAACCGCATCCATCCTGGCCTGCGGCCGCGGCGTGAGCTGTGCTATGGCGGAGGTAAGCAGTACATCGCCAACTTTTTGACAGATAGATATAGGCTGTAAATGATATCTTGGCGACCGGGAAGTTTCAGCTGGTGACTATGATGGTATACTACTGTAGCTATACGACCAATCCGGCGGGTCACCGGTCACATCGACCTCCGCCGCGCCGCTTTCGGGCCCTTGTCCTAAGTCACCGCGGCCCCCCGCCGCTTTGTCCGGTGGTCCTCGGCCGGTCACGCCGTTCTTAGGGCTCGCCGGCGGCCCCTGCGGGGCCGCCACGCCGCTTTGTACCCGCCGGGAGAGCATCCGGTTCTCCAGGAGGTTGTACCGCGGTACATGTTCCGCGGTACGTCGGAACGGTCACGAGTTACGCGTAACTCACAGGCATGCGCGTGACGGTGTTTGGGCCAGTCACATTGAAGCAAGCGCCGTTCAGCATGGACCGTGGTCTCCCTCGTCCATGGCGTGCGCGCCGTCGAGCTCACTGTGCGCCACCCCGCCTCCGCTGAAGTTCACATAGGAACTTTGATACAAATGGTTCAGGTTGTCAGTAAGTACTCCCTGGTAAGTCTCCACCCCCGAGCTGATACGCGCAACACCTAGCCTCCACTGCAGGCTGGCGTTGCTCGGGCCATGTAGTTCACATGCGTATAGTGTCAATACATGTTTCTATTATCTCCCCCAGTGTGCATGGGCCATCGAGGATGTGCTCGAGGGGTACTTAGGGCTGCAACATCAAGCTTGCACCGTGATGTCGCTCATCTTCACCTCTCCATGGACGTCCGCACGATCGCAAACGCGCTCTCCTCGCATGCCCGTCTGGCACAGCTCCCTTTCGACAAGATCCTCCTATTCTGTGAACTCTGTGACTGGCTGCGTGCAGACATCGCCGCTGATCAGTTGTCGTATGTTTACACGGCCCCGCATACAGTCTCACCGCCGCTTCAACACTTTCTGGCTGATACCCTGGAGCTCGATCCCGACCTCATTGATACGCTATGGAGCTCTTTGCGGGAATCTATCTGGGGCACAGACATCCGGCCACCTGCGCATTCAACAGGACAGGGATTGCTGTCGCATTTCCTGCGCAATGGGATACCTTATGGCATCAGTGTGTAACACCTTGCTTCTGTTCACATACAAAACACTGATGAACTCGCCCAGCCTTCTACAATTTACGCCCGCCAACCAAAACCTGTCTCGACCGGGCATGCTACACTGAACGCCCGATGATGCCCCGCGGCATGGTCTTCCCTCGGGAGCTCGGTGAACCAGCGACACACAAGGCAACACTGTTTACCCAAGATCATGGTCCGGTACCAGTACAGACGACCTCGTTATACTGCCGTCGTTCGTCTGCCAATTCGCATTTCAACATTACTATCTTCTGACGATGTCCTATGTCTTTAAAGATTGCAAAACCACATATTACCACAACTACTACGTCCACAGCAACGCTGCGACTCGTACATTTTACCCCCAGATCCCGAAGTTCCTGCAGATCGCCACGCATTATTTCGTCACTCCCGATGTTTGCGAGATGTTTGCGAATATGATGACATTTTCCTGGTACGTCTGGCCTAGGACAGCGTGTATTAGGATGCGGCTATGCTCACTCTTGATATCTCTAGGACGTCCGCTACCAATTGCGCCCGTATCTACAACCTCTCCAACAACAACAGAAGCCACACACCGCTCCTCCCCTCCAACTGGGACTGCAAGCTGACCATCGACGTCGAGAACGTGTGGGACACGTTCTTCCTCTGGGCACTCATCTGAGACTGCTGCGACCGTAGCACCGTCCTCGAGGTTCCCAACGATAGCAGCACTCAGTTTGACCGCTTACTACCCGCTATCCAGCGCCGTAATATCGCCATGGTAGGCCCTGGACAACCAGAATGGAACCACGCGTGCGACCTGTGTTGCTACATCACGGCAGACAGCGACAATCAACCAGGTATGCTTACACCCGGGCTCAGTGGAGCGCACATCATGCTAACATTTCCTTTAGTTGCGGTTCGATCTGTAGTGACCGACGGGATCAGTATAGGGCATCCGTGCTGTGCTGTGCATGATTGTCCCCACCCTATCCGTACCCAAAAAGGATCACGCTACTGCGCCGTGATGAACTCTGAACCTGGAAGGCTGTAAGCCGCACAAAGAGAGGTCTTCAGTCTGTGAGAGAACGACTCTGATTGCATAGTACTGTACCTGTAAGCCGCACAAAGAGAGGCTACAAGTACTAGTAAGTAAACATGTAAGGAAGCATAGGTAGTGTGGGACTTACTCTTCAGTCTGTGAGAGAACGACTGAAGAGCAGAGGCCTGCAGAGTCCTCCTTATATACTACTGGGGAGGACGATGAGTAAGCGTATAAGAAGAGAGCATGTGACGTCCAGAGGACGCTGACTGAGCGATGAGTAACGCTGAGTAAGGGAGCATAATCGACATAAGGTCAGATAGTCCATGGCTGAGTAATGCGAGTAATCCGGACGCTGTCTAGAATAGTCCGGAACATCGTAGAACGTACCAGAATCATGTGGAGGGATGGCAGGATGCCAAGTAAGTACAGAACAAAAGAATGTACGTATATGGTAAGTAGGAAAAGTCCATGCTGGCGTATGGTA